CTGTGGTCTGTGTGGGTCCTAACGCCCCAGTGTAGTGACGGGGACACTATACAGTCAACAAGCACCGTCCTTCGGATGAGACGTTAAACCGAGGTCCTGACTCTCTGTGGTCATTAAAAATCCCAGGATGTTTTTTGAAAAGAGTAGAGGTGTGACGGCATCCTGGCCAAATTTGCCCATTGGCCTCTGACCATCATGGCCTCCTAACAATCCCCATATCTACTGATTGGCTTCATCACTCTGTCTCCTCTCCACCAATAAGCTGGTGTGTGGTGGGCGTTCTGGCACACTATGGCTGCCGTCGCATCATCCAGGTGGATGCTGCACACTGGTGGTGGATGAGGAGATACCCCCTGACAATGTAAAGCGCTTTGAGTGCCTAGAAAAGCGCTATTTAAATGTAATGAATTATTATTATTATTATTACTGGATAGCTGGCCAATCAGAGCACACCTCGCTTTTTCAGACGATGAGCTTTGTAAAAATCGATGCGTTTCAGAAAGGCGGGGCATAGAGGAGAAACAATAATGTACAGTATGTGGAAAATAATGTGTTTTTTTAACCTTAAACCGCATAAACACATTTCATTACACCAAATACGCAAAATAATGTTCTTTTTAGCAGCATCATATGACCCCTTTAAATGTAACAAGTGCAGATATCACGTTAAACCATTAGAGGGCGCTGCTGCATTGCATTGATTGAAAGTGTGCTGTCAGTACTCTCCACGTGACAAACTTTTGCCTTGCCTTACAATCTTGAAAGATGTGATAGCCTACTTATTAATAGCTGACTAGGAAATGAGAAATACCTGATATTGCTGATATTGTTCCTTGTATTTCTCTTGCTTCTTCAGACAATCTGTTATGTATTAACTCTGTTGTATGTTTACAGTCTTCAGTATTAGTTTTTGAATTTTCATTTGGAACAGAAAGTTTTGAATTTGTGATATGATGTCAATGACATGAAATCAAACTAGGCGCTGATAACATAAACACTGCTGGCCAACATGAACCTTTCATTAATGAGGCCCTTTGTGTGAAGCTTAAATAAAGAGTCTCTTGTTGTAGCCGATAAAGGTAAAATAAAAACTTGTAATCTTACTTACATTCTAATGGCCATTTCTTGTTTACAGAGATGTTGGTGTAGGTGAAACACACACACACACACACACACACACACACACACACACACACACACACACACACACACACACGTGGACTTTAAATAGGTGTAATGGTTTATACTGTACAAACTGTATTTTCTATCAACAGGAAGTATCCTCATAAACCATGTTCACGTTGTAATACCTCTGTCATTATACACATTTGCGTCCTCATAAACCATATAAACATGTACACAAGATTTGTCAAGCATGGGGAAAACAAATGGAGCAATAAAAAAATGACTATCAATGAAAAATTAACAGGAGCTTGGGGCACAATTGTCACCACAATGAACAAAAATGCCCTCCAATTTAAAGATAAGAGGGCAAAAACGCCCCTGCATAATGAATCTAGGTCTATTACAGCTGTCACTATTAAAGTAAAAAGTGAAATGAATGAAAAGTGTTGATTGCTGGCTGCATTAGAGTAGCATCAGGCTTCTGTTTACACATGCTACTGAAATAACCAATGTGATTGATCTTGATTTTCTAATCCGTAAAAAGCAATAAACAAATTTGCAAATTGTTCTTAGATTGTTTTGTATGTAGAAAGAATACGATATACCTTTTCCCCCCACAAAAACTTTATATTAATCAGCATTAATGATCATTAGCCTACCTGTAACCATTTTTGGTTACACTTTACTTGAAGGGGTGTGCATAAGACTGACATGACACCGTCATTAAGTGTCATTCGCTCAGTTATGTTATTTTTAATGCAAATATGACATTGTTTGAGATGTCTTTGTTATGGGCTATGGGTAGGGGTAGGGTTAGGTTAGGGTTAGGTCAAATAATGTCATATTTGCATAAAAAATGACATAACTGAGCGAATGACACTTAATGACAGTTGTCATAAACATGCATAAAACCTCCTTCATATTCATGACATGTGTCATGTCATGATTATGAAGGTGTCATGTCAGTCTTATGCACACCCCTTCAAGTAAAGTGTTACCCAATTTTTTAATAGGGTGTTTACCTCATGCAATTTTTGTGTAAATACATGTACTTGAGAGGCTTTACACTTTATACTTTGCAGTTTAAGATAGCTTTTGTTTAAATCCCTTAATTAAAACCGAATCTATCAAAAAAATCTGCCTATTATTTCATAAGTCATGAGTTTTGTAGGGTTAAGCAAATGTATATTTTTGTGTATATGTGTATACAGTACTTTATATACAGTATATACACCTACACAATATAAACATAGTCTATAATATGTTAACATTCAACTCCAAAATACACTAATACCGAGTATATTATTGTAGCCTACATTAAAATACTTAGTTTCATGAATACAGCACAAACAGAAAGGTTCCATTCATTGACTAATATGTAACCAAATCAACGTGGTTTAATACAACCAATAATAAAATAAAAAGACAAATATGCCATATAAAATCTATCAGGTACCCATCCATATCGTATTAATATTACAATCGCTTGCTAGCAGATACAAAATGTATCGTTCTGACTGACGTCAGGCGCTGAACCGGAAGCTGTTCCGTCTTCTCTGTGTGTGTGTGATTGTGAGCTCGGTGATACACTGACAGCTGAACGATACGATGTAACAGTGACCTCCCCGAGAGCAGTCCGCGTGGATTATGTGTTGATCACGGGAGTGATCTTATCGCGGATCGCAGAGCCCGTGTTTCATCCCGTCGTCCGCGGCTCTTACGCCCATCAACTGCGGCGGGGCTCCGTCGATCAGTGGCCGTTTGTTTATCCGCACACAGCGGGACTCATGGGGAACAGCACATCATGCTGCGTGTCGTCCAGCCCGAAGCTCCGGCGGAACGCGCACTCGAGGCTGGAGCCGTACCGGCCCGAACCGGAGCTGAGCCGAGAGGACACGGGCTGCAACCTGCAGCACATCAGCGACAGAGAGAACATAGACGGTGGGTGTGATCCAGCATCATCCACACACTCAAATATTATGCGCTTATGTCCATTAATAACCATGATGGTGGAATAACGGCTCACTGAAGAGAAAACTGCTCATGAGGGTTATGTGTTCAAAAAGTATGGTGCTTTTGGAGAGTTTACCATACCACGTATTAGGTAAAGTACCACGTAAATGCCGTTATTCATACAGTAGGTGGAAGTACCACGGTATTACCCCACTGTACCATGGTAACGCCCTTACTTTTTTTTTTTAAGGGAGTCACACATTGTTATATTAATAGCACTACAGTGTCTTGTCAGTGTATTACAGAAATACCATAATTACTGCAGTAAAACTCTCTTAACTTGATTTTAACCCTCATTGTCATGCATTGATATACAACGTGGTCTACAAAAAGTAAGGACTTTTAGTATTTAGTCCACATGATACATCACTATTACCACAGTGTACAATGTTGGACATGTGCCATATAAAAATGCATGTTCATATACTCTAGCAGGTCCCACTTTATATTAAGTGGCCTTAACTTACATTTAAATGAATAATTTGGTACAATGCATTTATTGTGTACATATATGTTTTTACATTGTACTTAGGCCTATGTTTAAAAAAGACCTGCATGTAGTAATTAGATTTATAATTACGCTATTGATCCATCCCTTGCACCTTAACCCAACCTTAACCTACCCACACCACCAAACCTGTCCCTAACCTCACCCGTATCCCACCTCAATAGCAGCAGAAGTGTTTTGCAATACAATATGAACACAATAAGTATAATGTACTTATTTTTTGACGTAAGTACAGGGCACTTAATTTAAAGTGGGACCCTCTACTAGCATTTATGTTGTACTCCAAGCCAAGGTATTTCAAAGAATACTGTGATATTGCCGTGGTAGAGTACCGTAGTGCTTCTTTGTGGTTTGTTTTTCTCACTTGTACCATGATAGTACCAATATAATGCTGTTTTAGGACGTGCAATGTTGATTATACCATGGTATCCGATCTGTGGTGTGCAGCTAATGGGCAACTGTTGACGTGGAGAGTGGATCCAGCTATGTTCTAATGTAATTTAACATCTAGCAGACGATAGAGGCTGATGAGAGTGGCACGTGATCGCAGGCAGAGCTCATGTATTTGAGGTATAGCTGATCCAGGAACAGTTACGCTCTGAATCACATGATATTCATCTAGATGTGCAGCATGTAAAATCAATAACCAACATATGATCATACTGTAGGTTGGCGCCATGAAAAGTCTTTATATATTGGTTTGTTTGCATTGTTTGATTTGTTTGTTGATTTCATGACATTGCCATTATTTAATAAATGGACAATTAATGCTTAATTCATGCATTTTAATCGATCTGATGCTATTTATTGTCCTAGAAATTGGTGTTTGTGATGACAAACTTAGTTATTTTTTATTTAAATTTTTGTTATTCTTATCCAGTACTTAATGACTGGAAATGGCATGGAAAATAATACTTTTTTGTAGAACTATCATATCTTTTATTCATATTTTTAATGTTTTTTTTATTTTCAGATTTTATTTTTATTTTTAGTAATTGTATTGTGTTTTTGTAGTATTTTTGTGTTTTTTTAAATATATACATTTAAAAAAAAATGTATTCCATTTTTTTTGTTTTTTTTTAGTACATCAAGTTAAACTAAATTAAAATGATTTTCTTTGCAGTTGGCTGAACTATAAATTATTTTATTTTATTTCAAGTAATGTTTGTTTTATTTCAAGTAACAAAAGTGCATTTTTTTATTATTCTTTTATTTTTATTTTTGATGGTTTTAGTTTCAGTTAACTATAATAGCCGTTTAGCTCTAAAATATGTCTTTGCCCCCAGAAATTTTGTTATATTAAATAATTATCCAGTAATTACAAATGTCTGTCCACGTGTGCCCTTCTAAACTTATCTCAGGTACACTTCTGAGGATGATTTAAAGACGCATAAGTACATCCTTAAGTCCACTGACATACAATTACTTTTATTGCACACTCCTATGATACACTGCACATTGAGGAAGTCCCATATTTCATCACAGCTAGCCCACCCATGGTAGCTGAGCTCTTGTGCCGTGAGATGGGAAGGGTGTGATGGTTCGGGGTCAGTCTGTGCCAGTCTCCTGTGATGGGAGAGGAGCTTATATGTCAAGAAAACGAGAGAAGAGTCAAAATTATTTTTGTGCTAATAAAACATTGTCGCCGGTTCTGCTGATTGAGCTTAACTTTTACCAAACCCTGCATATTCTTTTAATTTTGAGAGTTTATATAATTTAGTATGATAATGTACACTTAGGATACCCTTTAATGTGATACTTAGTGTTTTAAACAAAACTCAAGTATCTTTTCAATGCTTTGTAATTCTTTTGGTAAAAGAGGCAAATCCAACAACTATGTTTTTTTTTCTTCTCTCTGTAGCCTGGTACCTTGATAATATAACATTGTTTGGTACCTTGATGATATAACATGGTTTCTCAGTGGATCAATTAAAACCTGTTCACCCTAACTCCGTAAAATTGAGGGAGTTTGGAGTTTGCAATTTTAAAGGGGTCATATGATGTGATTTCAAGTTTTCCTTTCTCTTTGGAGTGTTACAAGCTCTTGGTGCATAAAGAAGATCTGTAAAGTTGCAAAGACTAAAGTCTCAAATCCAAAGAGATATTCTTTATAAAAGTTCAGAGTCAGCCACACCTACCTAAAACGGCTCGTTCTAACACGCCCCCACATATCTACGTCATGATGTGGAAATATTAGCATAATGCCACCCAAATGTGCACGCAAAGAAAGAAGGCGTGGTTTCAGGAACAGCAGTAGTGTTGATGCAGCATGTCAGGGAGACGCTGTGTGATTCAGTGCGATAGCAAAAGCACTTTATTTGGCCTTCTTGAAGTAGATGCAATTAGGAATCATTGGTTAAGATTTATTTACAACAGAACAGCACAAGCCAAATGTTCGAATTTGAGCAACGCATTTTATGGCATATAAATTATGTCAATTTAAAACGTATAAATATTACTGTCTTAATTGTTTAGGTTTTTAGAAGGCACATAAACTACTTTGTGTGTTTGCTGCGTAAAAACATGAGTTGATATTTGCATTGATCTGACCATAATCACAAAGAAAGGCTTATTGGAAATGCAAATTAATTCTCTGCCACGAGGTGGCGCTTTAGGAGCGCTGAAATATTGCGGTTTCCCCGCTCCTGTGATGGGAGAGGAGCTGTACTGTGATTAACACTGTCCATTGTGATTCAGACAGCTGCTGTGTGAATCAGCTTTATCCCACAGAATAAATCAATGTCAGAGTTCCAGTTCTCATTCAAGAAAAGCTGCTTCATGTTATTGTAACTGCAACATAATGCAGTGTTTACAGCGTTGGCACATTGCTTGTATGTCTTTGCATCGAACCTTAATAAAGTATTCTAGGTTACCAAGCTCATTTAATAGCATTTTGTTGCATAATGTTGATAAACACAAGTTAAATTCTGCTGTTTAATGCATGAAATGCTGCAGAACATACAAGAGTGCAATGGTATAATACGACTAGGGCTGCACGATTAATCGCATGCGATATTTAACGCGCAT